TTATGGTTAAAATAAAAGCAAGAGTTCACATTAATTTTTAGCAAAAGTATCACAACTAAAGAAGTATAGTGACTTTAGCAACTAATTTCATAAAGAGATAACGATTAAAATTTATCTGATTTATATTAATTAAGTCATTCCCTATTATTCTGTCATCAATTTCCTGCTTCCTTCACTGTATTTATCACAATTTCATTGTTTCATTTGATTATTTGCTTATTTAATTGTTTACTGTTTTTCTCCTTTAGTAGAGAATAAGCTATTTGAAACACAGTGCCTGGCTTTCAACAAATAAATGAATGAATCAAAACAATGAGAAAAAAATGGATGGTTTGGCATGATGTTTTTACTGGAGATATCTAGTTCCTGTAAGGACACAGGTAGTCTAGGGCAACTCAATGTTTTGTTCCAATGGCTAAATTTCCAAACCAAATATATTATGCAAAAGCTAGCATTTGTCATGTGGCTTGCTAACAGAATATCAGAGATAGAGTCCATCCTACAGATTTCAGAACATACCTTAATCACAAACCTTGAAGCATTTTTACTACTCAATTTTATCTTTATCTAAATGTCATTGTACTGAACTCTGCGATATGGCACTCAGATCTCCCACTGTTGTCTTAAGGACTGCCTCAGCTGCAGGAAGCACTAATACACACACTTTTTCAAAGTGACCCATCATGTCCAATGATTAATCAGTACAAAGGCTTGGCCATCTCATCATAACTGGGGACAACTAGGAAAAGCCACTCTACCTCCAGAATTCTCTGTGAGGTAAGTGGAAAGTGTCATTGTTTCCATATCACAGCCCAATTTCTCCCTCTTCCCACTCCTACTTCCTTCTACAGGAGTTGATTTCTAGAGCACTTTTTTTAACACTAAAGTTATTTCCTAATCTACTCCCCAGGTAACCTAATCTGTGGCAGTTAGTACCAGGAGTGGTCTAAGAAAGCAGGTAATAAGATGAGGCTTTGGAGCTGGATCACTTGCTGCCTGGCTGGCAATGAGGACCCATCACTGGTGGCAGCTGGAACACAGAGAACCCCTGGCACAAGGTGGCAGTCCCACTGTTAAAACTTTCACCAGAAGTAGGTAAGGATGGTATACCAGTGGAAGGAAACACTTTAGCTGGAATGATGTATCAGATGTTTGAGAAATAGTAGCTATGAGGACAATGAGAAAATAATACAAAAATGCTGAGAGCAAGTAATCATCAGTGTGAAAGCCAGAGGACTTCCCTGGCAAATACAAAGTGTTCTCAAATACTGTAGCTTCTGGACAGAAAAAGATGATGCCCAAAACAGGGATTAATCAGCAGAGTAGTCATAAACTCCAAAACTCTTAAGAAAGGCAGATATGCTAAGTTAGGATCCTGGTTGAAAAGAATAGGATCCTGCCATACGGGTTGAGATTCCTGGTTTGATGCCTTCCAAAATCTTGAATTCCCCACTTTCCCAGAACTTTCTGAACCCACAAAAGTGGCCTGCCCCTTCTGTCTTGGGGATTATGCAGATAGACACTTCTGTCCCATAAGACAAAAATGTGCCTCCTTAACCCCCATCTGTCTACCCTTACCTCCTCTCCAGACCTCTAGGCCTGTATAATTAAGGTTATGTCACATTATAACCCACCCAGGAAACACTAGGTCTCATAAAGGAAGAAAGAAGCTATTCCATAAAGGAACTGCAAGATCTAGCTAGTTTATATTAGTGAGGAGAGTACATGTGAGATTAAATTCTGAGACTGTTTGATCAAAGGGGCCAGATTAGATAAGGGAGAGTCTATCGATTTGAGGACATTCTCCTGAGATGGAGGGTTAACAATCAGCAAGAATCTCAGCAGATGGTATAAACTTGCGACTAAAACGGTTTCCAGAAACATGGACTAATATTAAGTATGATTGAAATATCAGAAATGCTGTGGCATATGGCAGAAGAGGGGATTACAAGACTCGGAGAGTACATTCTGGAGTGCATATGCTACATAAGGCCAGAAAACCCATTAGATGATTGTGCTCCATAGGGAGGTCTAAAAAACACACTATTTACCAAAGCCATAAAAAAACATGCTAGTGAGAAGACATCTACATTACTCAGTTACTCTTCCAAAGGCCAGAGCTGACAGAAAGAAGGACTCACCAACATTAATAGCAATGTGGATGATAGAACCAGGCAAGGATCAGAAGTCATCAGAAGCCAGGTGATCACAATTAAAAGAGTGGCAAGGATGGGTATGTGTGTGGAGCGGACCTACAGTTACTGAGATAATTAATAAAATTAATAAAATACATATCACTAAAGGCAAAATAGCTAAAAAGGCTACCACGCAATATGTACATTCAAAAAAAATCAGATGGATGAACACAAGGCTAAGGGTAGTTGCTCCAATGAAATCACAATACCTTGCTCAATTTACAAACCTGAGCTAATTTTCAGACCCAGAGTCCACTAATGGAAGAAAAGGCCTAATGTCCAGAGGGAAAGACCTCGCTACCCCATGGCAAGAATACTAGGTAATAAGATCCTCAATCTTCTCCACCAGAAGGCCCTTTATTAAGGTAACTCTGCACTGGGGAGAGGGAATACCTAAACATTTAGAATTGACAGTGATACTAGGAGACCTGAAATATGCTGTCCTTCTCATTAGAAGCATATGGAGGCCAGTAATAAATGGAGTTCTTGCCAAGGTCTAGCACATAATGGGTCCATTGGGACCAGAGACCCACCTGATGGTGATTCTTTAGTCACTAAATGTATAATCAGAATAGACATACTTGGTAAGTGCCGTTAACACCAATATCAAGTCTTTGGTCTATGAGGTAAGAGCTATAAGTGTTGAGAAAGCCAAGAGGAAGAATTTGAGACTGCCCCCATCTCAACCAAGACAATATAGTAAATAAAAAACCCAACATAGTATTGGTTTGAGATGGGGGAGTGGCAGGAATTAGTGTTCCTTTAAGGAACTAAGGAGCATGCAGGGGTGGTGCCAATAAAGTTATCCAAGGCTTTGGTGAGTCCAGGTTGCAGCATGACTTCTCCCTTTAGCCACTCTCATTTCTGTCCCCTCCTTTCAAAAGGGGTTGATTCCAAGAATACTCCTTCATAACTCCTCAGAATCTGATTCCTAGGTAACCCAACTTGCAATAATCATTTTCCACCTTGAATTTAAGTTCCATTTTCTTTTAAAACAATGTTGGAATTATCTTCCAGACTACTTCCCAATATAATTGGGGAGTGCTAGGTTTCACTTTTGGAAAATTTTTCACAAAGCAATGTCATACTAGGAAGTATTTTTGAAAAATCTTTGGGATTTTTTTCAGAGAAGAGCCTAGAAGTATAAGTCCTGATTTACAGGTACTCTCTGCATTTAAAATTATTGTTGACTCTTATCAATCCCCCTTTCCATATCAAAGACTTTAGGTAACCCCTCAGTTCAACATTGAAAAAAGCTTTTCTGATTTTAGATTGACAAAGCACATTCAAAATTAGCTCATATCTCATTTTCTCCAGAAAGCTTTTCATTGATTCCAAATGGAATTATTTCTCTTTTTATTTCATCAGCAGTTAAGTATATACACGCTATGTTCATAACTTGTTTAATAGCTTCTTTGTAAATATATTAAAGTTGTCTATATAAAGTTAGACTTTATTTACACAAAGACAATAAAAACAAATTTGTTGAAAATTTCATTCTCCTTTTCTTTTATATAGCCTCACAGTATTCTCAACATAATCTCCTGATTAATGTCACTACCTAGAAAGTTAAATAATTTTAAAACCTTACATAAGTTTTACAGAGTAAGAAATTTAAAATTAAATATGAAAAACTATTAGCAATTAGCTGTACTAAGCAATCTTGGATTTAAACTATATAGTTTCTCAACTGTTTCTATGAATAAGTTTAATTAAATAAGTTAATAAATAATAGCAATAAATGAATCAGGTGTGTTTTTAAAAAGTAGTCCATACTAACTGGCAAATATACTCTGCATTAAAAGCTTGAATAATGGGAGATTCAATATATTTTATATATTATGCAAGCTGATGAAAATACTTCCTGCTGTTGCATACAACTTAAAAATAAACCTTATATTAAAAAGAAACCAAAAGAATGCCTCTAGTTACAGCTGATTCTAGCAATGAGTTTATTTCTATGAAAAAACCAAGGAAACATATATGTCTTTAAATAGTACATGGTTTCTGTGGCTATACAGTAAAAATAGAATGACTCTTACTGTGACAAAATTCTCCCAGAATATATTACTAAATTATGGTAGAAGTCTCTTCTTTGAAAGAAATAAACTGGAAAATTTTATAGTAGCACTTGGCCCACAGTAATATACTACTCAGACTAGGTGAAATATAGTGCTGCATTTTAATCAAACACTGTATTTTATTTTTAACATTTTATTTATTTATTTATTTATTTATTTATTTATTTAAACATTTTATTCATTTTTTTTTTCTTTTTTCTCCCTACCCTCTCCACCCTCTTAATCACAGATTCATTGGATGTCCTGGTCCTTGCTCCATTCTAGACCCTGTAGATTGTACTAATGCATGCTCACTTTTTCCTCTGCTTCTCCTACCACAAAAGAGTGAGATACATCCAGAAAAGACTATCATAGATCAAATTTTATCAGCAACCAGAAACAAAGAACAGACTGCCAACAATCATAAAAAGGCTTGCTCAGGTAATTTAGTTACTGGCTATTGCCTCTTCCACTATAACCATGCATTCCAATAACCACAGGATCTAAAGATTTTTGTAGGAGAAAAGTATCTTCAGGGATAGCAACACAGACAACCTTTTCAGAGATAGACTCATGACGATATCTTCTGGCCAGTAGGAGTTATGAGGAAGCGACTTCATTTAAGTCGCTTCTAATTATTAACATACTGCACCACACTTGGACATTGTTCTACTTCATTATGTTAGGTTATCTTTAAATTTTTGAATTTCAACTCGAATATAGATAAAATAAATATTGTACATACTTGGAAGAAACTGCCGCCATGAATTCATCCAAAAAACTGTCATATTCAGGACCTCTCACTCTTCTCTGCCGGAGTCCAATGTACAATGGATCGTTAAGTAACTCCTATTTAAAAAAAGTTACCAGAGATATAGAAATAACTAAAGGCAAGTCATTTACTTGTTCCAAGCCTCAGTTTTCTCATCTTTATAATAAAGATAGAAATGGAAATAAAATCTTGCCAAACTGCTTCAGAATCAACATAGAGAGTAAATATTTAGTATTATATAGAATATATCTACAGTATATGCCAAATAAGAAATACAATTGCTAAACATTAAAAATGTTCTCCCTTATTCTGGGGAAAAGAAAATAAATGATAATCTCTCAGTGGTGCTAATTAGGAAAGCTCAGTTCAGATTTGATGGGCAAAATTTATCACATAGAAAAATAATATTAGGTTTTGAAGTACTATATTAACTTAGGAAATGGAAAGGTAGCAATTCCTTTCTTAATTTTTTTTGTTTCTGAAAGCAAAATCATCAACCAACATTTGATTACATCATTAATATTACATGTTAAAAATAAATTTTTTAGCTTTGACTAAAGCTTTTCTTAAACTTCGTAAACTTTATATAGTTAAGATTATTTTCAATGATATATGAGACAACATTGCTCTGCTCAAGATTTCCTATATGCAATGTTATTGTTTTTTATTAAATTATTTTTTAATTGAAGTATAATTTATACAGAGTAAAATGCATCCATTTATAACAAAAGCTCCCAGTAAACTAGGTATAAAAGGAACTTCTTCAACCTAATAAAGGGCATATGTAAAAACCCCACAGCTAACAACATATTTAATAGGAAAATTGAATGCTATTCCCCTAAAATTGGAAACAAGACAAGGATATTTACTCTCACCACTTCTACTCAATACTACACTGAAGGCCTTAGCCATTACAATAAGGCAAGAAAAAGAAAAAATAGGATTATAGATTGAAAAGGAAGAAGTAAACTTTTTGTACATACATGATCGTGTACATGGAAAATACAAAAGAATCTAGAAAAAAATTCACTAGAAAAACTATGTGAATTTAACATGAGTACAGAACATAATGTCAATCAATATATACAAATCAAATGTATCTTTTTTCATCAGCAACAAACAACTGGAAATGAAATAAAATACACAGCTCCATTTACAATAGCATTCCAAAACATGAAATTCAAAGGGACATATCTAACAAAATATGTGTAAGCCCTGTACACTGAAAACTATAAAATATTGTTAACAGAAATTTTAAAAGACAAACTTCTTTTGCACACTGGAAAAAAATGGCAATCCATGCCAGTAATAGTGAAACAATTAACAAAACTGTCACCTTCAGAATTCTGTAATAGAGAAAACATAAATCTAATGAATTTGCAAATCTTGCTAAAGAGATTCCCAGGTAGACTGCTGAAAGTGTAAACTGGCTTCTCGACTATATGATAAAGTTATAACAGATGAGCTAAAAAAGAAAACATTCAGTGTATGAGCAAAATTTAAAAAAAAAAAATACAGAGGGCATAAGACTTGCTTGTAAAAGATTTCCAAAGTAAAATAAGACCTAAAGTCAAAGACCAAATTAGTGTGTGGTTGTAAATAAGCTGTAACAACATATTTAAAAATCTCTATTAACTATAATGATTTAAAGTAGAGTCTAATAGACCTTCTAGACTAGATAAAAAGAACTCGTCCCACAGCTCTCAGATATGCCAACCAATGTAGGGAGAAAGTCTGTTTTAAAAAGAATTGTGAATTGGGAGTGAGGGAGCCTTTATGTATTGGAGTGGACTATAATGTGATACACAGAAAGCACCCCCAAAATTTAAGGATGCTGTAATACTTGGATTAATTGGGACAGAGACACCTCGAAATGAAAATACCTCTCTGAGTCCCCAACTTCCCACAAGAAGGAAGCAGGCTGAGAAAACTATTCACCTGACATATGGCCATTTCTTACAGAAAAGGAAGGATATCTCAGAGGACAGCCAAGAGCCCAGAGAGCAGAGCCAGAAGCCTTAGAGGACAGTTGATACAGAATCACTCTGATAGGCCCTTTTCAAAGAACATCCCCTGCCTGCAACATGGCCTGGCAACGTGTCCAATGGGAATTCAAAATTGCTATGAACCATTCGAGCCACATAATTCCAGTTCATCCCATTTTGAATGTGAGTGTTGATTGTGCTTTTTCTGTCCCTGTCTCACCATTGTATGTTTAATTTCTGGGAACAGATAAGAGGACCCACACCAAGGAGCAAAACACAAGAAGCTTCATTTGCATCTAGACCTGATTTAGATAACAGGATTCTGAACTTGGGCCTGCTGTTATTGGGATAAAACTTTTAGAAACCTAAGATGGAAATGAGCATATTTTACATGTGGAATATGAACAATTTGTGAAAGATAAGAATCTATATTGAGAAACGCCAACCTGCCCCAAGCATCCTAGCCTCCCATGCCAGGAAATCATAAACATTAGTAAAATTGTAATTGTTTTAAGTCATTAAGTTTGGAGGTGGTTTGGTATAGACAAATGATATGTTTTTACAGGTGTGGTGATATTGTTAAGAAGTCTAAGTCATTCGAATCATCTCTGTTGGGATTTTTTTTAAGCCAACAAATTATAGTCTGCTTCACACCTGTTGTCCTAGTGTAATTATTAACAGCATCCGCTTTCATTGTGAAAGTGTCTTGGTTAGGCCAATACATTATGTGGTCATCCTACTTATAATGTATTACATGACAATGAGTTAAGGCTTTCTGGCTAGCTGAAAGTTAACGTATTTAATCATGTGAAAATATTTCAGATGAAATATAAAGTCTGAAACAGAGTGTTGTTGTAAAGCTCAGCTGTTCCTCAAGGCCTAAAACCTTTAAACAATCTACTGGCAGGCTTCTGAACAGCTGAGGTTAAAATACCAGTAAATTATTCATGGCTGCCAGAATTAAAATACTTTCTCCATGTCTGGAATATATTTGGACTTCTAAAATGTGAATTAAGAAAGAACACAATTGAGAAAAGAGGTCACATGTTTCCTCTTCTCTTTTCTTTCATTCTTTCCCATGCTAATAATTGAAGTATATATCATAAAGCAGACGAAGTACAATGAAGAGTCAATTATGAAGATTTATGAACAAGATTAAGCTTCTGAATTAAATCAAGAAGTTATAAAATTCTCCCAATCATAGCATCTGTCAAAATTTCCTGTTTTTAAAATTTTTTTGATAATTGGGGCTTGAATAATGAGTGCATTCTTGGAGATTTGACTGACAAAAAATAACTACAAAAAGCAATTTAACAAGATCACCCAGTTTTTACAATGGCTCCACAGACCAAGCAGCCTAATACAGAGGTGATATTAACTTACTGGATTCAAAGCTTTTTATGGCCTTGAGTAAACAATAAATCTTTGTTGGAGAATAAATAAAAGTCTTTTAAGCAAATGCTTAAAAATGGTTTTACCTTCTTTAGTAAGAGTTGTCACATGTAATGCATGTGGTATCTTTGAAGACTTATGAAGACTTATAACATGAAAGAAAAAGATTAGAAGAAAAACAGTAAAAGCATATGGAAATATAAAAGAGTTCGAAAAGGATATAAAAAGGGTATATATTGGTAAAGTTAATTATCTTAGCACTATCTCGATTCTGAAACCTTGGGAACCTTTATTTGAAGTATTCATTTATTTGAAGCAAACAGTAATCATTATCAACCCTCCCTTTGTCTCTCACATTTCTTTTTTTTCTAATCTGAAGTTTCTGACAAAAACTATTTTCTTAATATTTTAAGTTTTTACCATTAGGAAAGCAATACTTCCTATTTAAAAAATTTGAGAGCACTGAAAAGTAAAATGGAAAACAAAGAATGCTAATAATCTTTACTCATTCAGAACTACCCACTACTATCCCCTTGATGCATATCCTTCTAGGTCCGTTAGTTTATGTCTATGCATATATAATATTATCTGTCCAATTTGCTGAGGGACAGAGAGGAGGAAGGTTGGGGGGATGGGCAAATGGGGTGAAAGGTTAAAGAAGTACAAATTATTAGTTGATAGTTGGTCACAGAGATGGAGAGCACGGCAGAGGGAATGCAGTTAGCATTAATATGATGGCTAGGTGGAGGGCCAGAGAAGGGAGGGAACAATTGGGGGGATCATTTTATGAACTATATAGATGTCTAACCAATATATTGTATACTTGAAACTAATTTAAATAAATAAATTAAAAATATACATATTATCTATCCAAATGTGAGACAATATCATAGACTTTCATAACAGTTTTTCACATAAAAATATAATGTGAAGTTTTCATGTCAATAGATGAACATTTTTAAAACTTGTGATCTATACTGGAACTCTGCCCTTCTAGAGAATGAATAAATTAACATTCTCCCCTAGTGATATGTTGAACAAGCATATAACATTGTTGCTTAGAAATGTTGAACAGCATATAACATTAGTAGAACAGGCTATTGTTCCTATTGTAAATGAAACCATTTTTGTTAAATAGTCATTACAAGTAAATGGGAATGCTGTTGAGCTTTTAATGTTTATTTTATAAGAAGCCACTTTACTGAAAGCTCTAATTTGGTCATGGCATTTTTCATTTACTTTCTTGGGCTTTAAAAATTACCTATAAATATTGATGAACATATCACCTATAACAAAATGATAATTTTGTCTTTTCCTGTCTGCCAGATATATGCCATTTGTATTTTCTGTCCTATTGCACAGGCTAGGACTTTCTGAACAATTGAAAAGAGGATAGCAGTGATAACGGCAGATTCGAAAACTCATTAAAAGAATGCCTACAATATATCACTATTAACTATAATGTTGCTAATGGTTCGGATAGTTTTTGACATTAAAAATATTTTTCAAAATTCAATTTGCCAATACTTTATGAAGGATTTTTGATTCTACATCTATATTAATGTAATCTTTACTAAGTGCCTACAGAATGCCATTCACAATTCTAAACACTATGTTAAATCATGAGAATGCTATAATGTAGGTACTCATTTTACATAAAGAATCTAAAGCACAAAAGAATTGAATAACTTTTTCAAAATTACACAGCTAGGAACATAGGTAAACAGATGAATAATTAGGAATTTCTTGTTATGTGCTATTTTTTACCTGTTTGGAGATCAAAGTTATATTCTTTTCATAAAATGAAATGTGAAGCTGTCAATTTTAATATGATCTGGATCAGCCTATATAGCAGAGGAACAACATGTCCTGAAAACTTTAAATAAACCCATAATCCTATCTTAGTTTAAAACTAAACTACTTAACATTAAAATTTAGACCTAGTTTTCTTTTTGTGCACTTCCTTCTGATATTTTTGTCTATAGTTTGTATGGACTCTGGTGACATCGTTCACACATATTCAACTATTTTGGATAGGGCCTATCTATTTTATCTAGTAGCCAGGGGCCACAACTAACAGTCACAGGATAGAGGCTGGCCATGCCAGAAAACTAACCATGTGATTTGGGGTGGGGAACCTTGGGTCATGTAGTATCAGTCAAACTGGAGACTGATTTCACATATGCGATCAACCATGCATGCCTAGGTAATGAAATCTCAATAAAATCTCTGAACATTGGGGAATATATTAATCTCACACACTGATACCAGAAGGTAATGTGTCTTGACTCCACAGAGGAAAATAAAAGCATCACATTTAGAACTCTACAAGACTGTCCTATGTATCTCTTCTTTTGGCTGATTTCAGTAAGTAGCCCATTCCTGTAATACAACATAATTGTGATTAAATAGCTTTCAGTGAGATCTATGAATTTTGTAGCAAATTATCAAGCCTAAGAGTGCTTTGAGGAACCCTCTCAAACTTGCATTTGGCATCAGAAGTGAGAACAGTCTTGGGACTATGTCTTCAAACTTTGTAGTTTGGCTAACTTCAGGTATAGCCAAACTAGATAAAGGAACAAAAAATTTATTCTCATTTTAGAACAAGAACTCTTGCTGATCATTTTTTAGTATAGATGTTCACCATTATATATCTTAAATATGTTTTAGAAAAAGTAAGTTATAAGTAGATAGCAGTGCTATACAGTTAGAGCCTAAGAGTATATTGTAACTGGCAGAGAAATAGTTTGCTAACTGACCTTAATGGTTTGTCAAATGTCCCTATCAAAGCATTTAATGTGTGTTGAAACTAGTTACATATGTATCTCCAATTCTAGATTCAGAGCATTTGGCTGGCAAGCTCTTAAGTTATTTATTCTGATATTACCTAGCCTTCACTTAGGCCTCGACAGATACTAGGTACTCAACATTTGTCTAACTCAATTAAATCTACATAATAGAATATGAAGAGTTTTAGAAATGTTTCTCAGGCTAAAAAGATATTCTCCAGTGACCTTTCAAAGAGTTAAAATTCTATCACTCACTTAATTTTTCCCCCTAATATCTCCAAAAGTCCATTGGCAGTAAGCAAAAATCTCTAGAAATAACACTTAGTAGCACTTTAGCTACAGATTCATTTAGGTAGATTGTTTTCTAATTTAGCATCTTAAAAAAACTTTGAAAGGTAGTAAGCACTAGGTATGTTTAATGAAAAAAGAATTTAAAAAGCGAAATCAACAGCGGGGCAAAGTAAAGAATTTGATGATAGAGATGAGATTTGCAGGCTAAGGAAGGCTAAGGGACAGAAATGGAATAACATAAAAGCACTGACTATCAAAAGAGGAAAGGAATACTAAATGGATATGAGAAAATTCAAGACAACTGGCGAATTTGACAATTTTAAGACGCTCAGAAAATCAAATATTTTATATAACTAATACGATCTATCAATGAAACAGTCCCAGTTTCATTAATGTACAACTTTACGTCCACATTACATAGACAATCTCAAAAGAAGGCCCAAGTTTAAAACTAAATTCTTAAATTTTTGCATGCCTGTTTCATCACTCCTCTTCATCTCTATCTAGAATTTTTAAGATGTTTTATAGATTTTGTGATTTTTAAACTTTGATTTCAATGTAATTTATCACAGAAGAATGTTTTAAAATATATGAAAAAATAAAGAGGAAATCTCAATGTTCAATCTATATGCCCAATTTTAGGATAATTGTTTTAAGAAGTCAGCTTTGATCATTTCTAAATTATTTCTATTAGTATTAAAAAAATGCTAGATAAAAATGTCTTTTTATCAAAACGTATCCTTTATAAAGGTTAAATGAGTACTTAGGTAGTATGCAGGAAGTTAAATGTTGCAACTTTGTATAGGTTGGTTAAAGAACAAGAAACCTGTTCAAGTCACTATTAGAAGAGAACAAGGAAAACAACTATAAAAACTGTATTTATTCAAAGTAATGAGGTCTTATTTGATGATGAATCTATTCTGGACCTAGGTCTGAAATTTGTATGTAATTTTAAAAAACTCTATCCTTAATTTATCATTATCTTTCACCACTATTTCAGAAAATTCTATCTTTAACTTCAGGTATTTTTCACCCATAAGTGATCCTAAATATTAGCAATAAAGGGTGAGCAAAAATATATGACTTTAAGATTGTAAAATATTGTTGCAGGATGAGAAAGACTAAACTCTAAATCATCTACCTAAGGTTCAATACAGATTTTTAGAAGAAGATTTCAGACTGATTAAACTTAATCTTCTTTGAGATTAGTTCCTGTGTAGTATGGAAATAATAACTTAAAAAACTAAGATATCCTAAAGTAAAATATATATTCTATAGAATAATGGTATAAATACTCATCGAAGGATAATGAAACACTAAAGAAGCTGGTAAAGATTAATGATGTTATAGAGAAAGGAAAATGAAAAGAGAAAAATTTTTTTATAAGAGTTGGGGGGATGTGTTTGAGGGAAGAGGGAGAATAGCCAGAAAAAAATGACTAATCACTATGCTATAGACCTGAAACTAATATAAAATAATATTAAGTGTCAACTATCATTGAAAAATTTTTTAAAATTTAAATTTTTAAAGAACATGTAGAATAGGACGATTTAAAGTATGTGCATGTATAAATTTAATAAAAATTAAAATTAAAAAAGAAAAGCTAAGGAAGGAAAGAGCAAATTAAGCCAAAAATAAAAGAAATTCAATGAAGGTAAAAGTAGAAATCAATAAAAAGAAAAACAGACCAAAAGAAATGACTTTCACAAAGTTCCTGGAATAAGTTCAAACACAAGAATCGGTGCTCTTTTTTAAAGGTGAATAGCTTTTTATAGACTTAAATTGTTTACCTCATTTTCTGTTCCCACGTCCAGAGTGACAGGCAGACATTCTTGAGGATTCACCCCTCCACAGGCTGTATACAGAGCCAATTTACCCACAGGGATGCCCATGCCATTACAGCCAAGGTCTCCCAAGCCAAGAATACGCTCTCCATCAGTCACCACAATCGCCTAGGAGAAAAATTAAAAATATCTATTCAAGATGTTCACAAATCCTGGAGCACAGTCCCTGGTCTCTATTTCTGAAGTTAATATTATGTAATGAAATACTAAGCTGTCAAAAAACATAAATTGAATATACAAGGAAAAGATTTTATGTGATCATACATGTGAAAGAGCAGGGAGAATAAATTTGATATATACATTTTATGTTGTGTTAAAAATATACAATATGTGATTAATCTGGTTGTTGAAAAAAGAAGAGAGGATATGCACATAAAGATTTAAACAACCCAAATAACTCAGTCTTCAGTCAAGAGAAGCAGTGAAAAGAGGATAGGGAAATAAGAACTCAAATTGGGAACTAAATTGAAACAGAGCAGCTTTAAAACTAGCCATATCCACTTTGAGGACAATTGTAGGTGTCCATAGTTACGTAATACATAATAGCTGAGTAGCCTCTAAATGTTCTGATCTTTGGTTTATGCATCCTGGCACCATCAACTTATTGTCACAATGTTGACCCATCTTCTTTAACTCTTATAACTACTTGATATTGTTCTACCACCTTTGAAATATGGCCAGTAGTCTGCTACTTTTCTTACCTGATAAGCCTTCATCAGATCTAATAAATTTTGTTTAGTTTATTTCTAGTCACCTTAAATATCTATGAAGCATACATTTTAATCATGTAGAGATTTTAATTCTATGTAATTTAATATCTTTATTGAAATTATATATCTAACATCTTTACTCTGTGATTCATGGCCATTATGTGAACTTAAGCAAAACCAATCTTGTGAATTAGATTTTCTACTTACCGCTACACCAGTCATATCCATACAGCCTTGGAAAAATATCAGTTATTTGACTCTAAATTGAAGAATTACAGCTTCTGTTTCTTATTTGTAAAGTGGGAATAATAAATGTATTTTTCAGAGTAGCTGCATAAGAACAGGATCCAACTCTGTTTTTACTTACTGTAAACTAGCACCTAGCATAGCATTTGGCACATGGTAAATAATCAATAAATATTAGTTAATTGAATAAACAGATAATTCAATGAAATGAGATCATGATATACAAAGAACTACAACAGTACCTGGTACAAATTTTCAAAAAATTCTAGCTATTAATATTATCATCAGGACTAATGTAGAGAGTCACAGCATTTTAGAAGTAAAGGAAAATTTAGAGTACATTCAGTCCAACTCTCTTATTTTATAAATTAGGAGACTAAAGATCAGAGAACTGAAATAATTTGCCTAAGTGATTTACCTGCTTTATATCAAAGAACCCGAACCCAAGTATATTAGCTCCTAGTACAGTGTTTTTCTACCATGTTACACTACAGAACATATTTTAAAATCTATTTTTGAGCTATTTTCATTTAATTTTCTGTTCACCTACATTATACAGAGTTGGATCCTGTTCTTATGCAGCAGCTCTGAAAAAACTGCTTTAAAAGTAAATACATTTGAAAGGTGAGTGAAAATTATTTTTGCATATTTTGCAGATTCTGCAACTATTTGTAGTTTTCCATGTCTAATTGCAAATGGACAATACGTTCTGCTGTTTTGGAAGAGGCAACTTGATTCCATTTATCTTAAATCATAATAAAAAAAATACACGGAAATACAGAAAACTATAACATTGCTTTTTAAATGAAATTACAGCCAATTTTCAAAGTCCAAATATTTCAAATACATATTTCATAGACATTTTTTATTGTGTTCTGACACAGAGATACTTTTATTTATCATCGATAATGTATACTTTTGTGAATGTGTTCCTTAAAGTCCAGTTGGCCTGCATATACTTTTAAACATTTTCATAACATATTTTATAAGGAGAGCAACACTGTCATATAATTTAGTTATGATCTGAATAATAATTTATATAATGCTTTCCGGGTTTCATTAAAAATATTTAAACCCAGAGAGTTGCTATTTATAATTTTCATTAGCTTCAATTTTTTTGAAAAAGAAGTTTAAAATAACAGCATTTTTATTTATTTTTAGTAGCATATCTAAGTTATACTAAATATATGTCTTGAATATAAAGTCAAAGAAAAATTTTATTCTTTTTGGTTTCTTCATAAATTTTATTCCCTAAGCTCTTCTCTCATCCCGAGCTATTAATTATATAAATATACCATGGATGTGGCAGTCGTATAAGTAATTTTTAAACTGTTTTGAGGCATTTGGTATTTTAGCTCAATTTGTGCCTTATTACAAATGTACACTTGTAGCATCAATTCACAAACAATGCAACATTAAAGAATAGATTTTATCATTAAGTATAATGTTGGCTAAGGGTCTGTCAAGGTATTTTCCTTCTATACCAATTTTGTAAAGAGTAGATTTTAATAGTGCAGAAATCCTCTGAAATAAAAATTTGTAACATATACAATTTATCACTAAATTAACATTTCCTTGCTTTTGTTAACTACTTTAGCTCCTGCTTAAGAAAAATACAGTAATTTCTTTAGATGTGGAATTTAAAAAGCAAAATAAACGAACAAACTCATAGATACAAATAACACTATGATGGTTGCCAGATGGGAGGGAGGTTGGAGGATGGATGAAAAAAGAGAGGGAATCAGAATGTACAAATTGCCAGTTATAAAAATAGTCATGAGGATGCAGGGTTCAGCATTGGGAATATAGTCAATAATATTGCAATAACTATGAATGGTGTCAGGAGGGTACTAGACTTAACGGGGTGATCACTTTGTAAGTTGTATAGTCTAATCACTATGTTGCATACCTGAGATTAATATAATATTGTATGTCAACTGTAAATGAAAAATAAAAAATGTAAAAAAAGAAAAGAGAGCAGTCATGTTTTCTATATAATTAATTCACAAGAGTAGAATTATCTCAGTAAGATAACCACACGATGTCTGTGTTTCAGAAATTAAATCTTCATCCAACTATATCAATTATTTTCTTGAAACTACCTGAATAAAAACGTTCTGTATAAACTATACAGGGGTTCTGAACATATATTCTCTTTCTCTATCACTCACTATATGTCCTGACTTCGCTTCTTTTCTTTTCTGTCGAAGCCTACCTAGATGCAGAATTTTTGCCTCCTTTCTTCTCTGTTGAACCTTCTTCAAATATTACTTATATAAAGTACTTCATTGTTTAATCATGACATTCTGTTTTTTCAAGTATAAATCCCTCTATGAGTTTCAAGATCTTTCATAATAATTTGATCACCTTTTACTTAAGCAGCCTTAATTACACTGCATTTCAATATTTAGTTTTAGTTGGGTCAGCCGACTTCTTTATTGCACAAGAATATACCTTTCTACATTCATATGTTCCCTTCTTAGGACAGTATCTTCTCTTTCTAATTATCAAAGGCTAGATTCAAGTTCCAATTTGGCGAGAAAAATTTCTTAACTGTTCTAGCCTTCTCCGAATGATAATCTCTAAGTGAATGAATATGACTTTATACCAGACAGTTTAATTATACAATGTCTAATAACTGGCTGCCTTTGTTTTGTGTATGCTTTTAGCTACATTTATTTTTCACTATTCCATTACATAAACAGCAGCCATTTATTAAGTGCCTGCTATGTGCCAGACACTATGCTAGGCATTTTAAATAACAGTAGGTATAGTCAGGGTCAAGAAGATCAGTAAAGACTCAGTATTAAAAATTAAAATGATAACAATAGGCTATTAATGAAGTTAGTTAGCCAGTGGGAGGAACATGAAGCAAGGGAGAGCTCTTTGCTTAGCCATTATGATTACAGGGATATTAATTAGATCTCTCTACCTCAGAACTATTTCCTATATTGATTCATTCTTAAAATCCTCTCTAGAGTACTGATTAAATGTAAGTATCCTTCTTCTTAGTAGATTAGACATTTATATTTCATAGAATTGGCACATTTTTACAGTAGTTCCTAAGGACAGGATCTGTAGACAATGCAGTCTACCTGGTGGGAGAAAAGTTGAGAGAGCAACTTAGGTGGAAGAAAGTGAAAAAACTGGAAAGGCTGGAAATAGTGAAAAACATTTTGCATTACAAGTTTGCCTAACATGGGCCTTAAAGAGCAGAGTGGATCAATTCTAGCCACAACTGCTCAAACAGAAAAGATCATTAAGGGTATCACACTTCAGAAGTGATAGCTGAATCACCTTTATGCCACTAAAGGGCATCAATTTATTCAATATTAATCTTAAAAGACACCACAAAGTTGCTGGGCACCTAACAGAAAGGAAAACGGGAGTCATGGAGGGGACAAGTACATCTCGCTTTCCTTAGACAAAGAAGGTGGTATAGCAGCACCATGTTTTAGGACACAGGCTCTGAGGCCTACATTCAATTCCCACCACCACCACACATTGCTGTGTAACCCACTGTGTAACCTGTGCCTTCCTTTCCTCACTGAATTATTATGATAATTATGAGTTATTAGTTGTAGTGTCTCAGATGAAAACAAATTATCAGATAATATTGCTATTTTACTTTCATTAGTTCACTCAGAGAGAAGTCAGATGAGCTACTTAAGGTCACAATGATGAAGAAAATTAACAGATTTATTTTGCCTACCTGGATTCTTCTTAGTGGATGAATAAACACAGAAAATATGGAAATGGAGTTTGCTTAAAGAAATTCAGAAACTATTTCAATATTTATTCAACATTTATCATCACTTACAATGAATAAAGAAATTAGATAAAAATAATGGGGAAAGTTGGTATCTAAAGGTATCAGAATAAAATTAATCCACTATGCAAAAATCAAAGGGATATAAATTAGGTGACATTCACTAGAAAAGCTAATGAATGCTACCTAATGTCATGAATATTACCAATATGTTATAGGACAGAGAAAAGAACAAATCTGTCATAATGAGAAAATTTGATAACTTACCTTGATAACGTCTTCTGGCCACGCATCAAGAATTGAAGCAATATGCCCTCGATCATGGATACTAATAAAGAGGCCTCTGAGAGAAAAAAAGGAGTAGTTTTAATTTACATCACATTTATCAAACTATCATAAACATTTAAAATATTTTTCAAATCAGTTTGAGATATCCCTTTTTATCAAACTAGTGAAAATTATTTTCTTAAATAAGAGATAGGAATCTTGTAAGTAAAGGGGAAATTAATTTAAACAATATATTGATATCTACAATAAAGGTATATTCATTCTTATATTACATACTCTTAAATATTTTAATTAAGTAATTATTAATAATAATTAAAGAATTAATTCATTATTTTTATAGAGAATTTAAATAGCATTATCAATTCCATTCACAGATTCATTTGGTCTTTATTAAATAATAGTTGTAAAAGATCTTTGAAAAACAGTATGAAGCAAATATAAACAGGAATTTTCAGTGTATATTACATTTATTGAATATTAACAGTGTGGATAACATGTATTGGAATTAGCTGAAGTGACTGATAATGCTGGGCAGTCCTTTCATGTGGAACTTACTTGATTCTTTGATTTGTGGTCTTAGTTGCTATTTGCAACTCTTATTTAGACTGTCAACTGAACTCTTTAACGGTGCTTGTCCCTTTCCCTCATTTCTTATGAAAGCCTAAGAATTAACTTTAAAAACTAAAATAAAAATTTCTGAATTCCTTAACCTCACTTAAAAGTTTCATTTTAGTATTGTTAAATATAACTCAAATATAGACAACCGCATATGACAAATGTACAGTTTAATGAACTGTTATAATATCTATATAATATCCTTCCACACATTTTCTCCCAATCAAAACCCTGCCCTAAGAGTCACTCTCTTGACTTTCATGGTATCTATCATGTCCTTAATTTATAGTTTTATCTTCTGAATAACAAACCATTCCTAGGCAATATTGTTTAAATTGTCTGGTAAAGTTTCCCAAAATCTGGATTTTGCTGATTGCATCTCTATAGTACAGATTAACATATTAATCTTTACTCTGTATTTCTCGGGAAATTGGTAATTGAATCTAAAGGCTTAATTGGACTTTCAACTTTTTTACAAAACACTTCATGGTTTGGTGCTATCAGAAGATGCATAACATCTTTGTAGTCCTTTTTGTGATTTTAGCAGCTGCTTGATGCTTAATATCTAAATTTATTAAGTCATTGGGGGTTCAAAATGGTGATATTCCAATTCTAGCAATCATTATTTATTAGCTGGAACACTTCTTTAAAGAGATATTTCACCACACCTATTGTTTGGCTACCCAATGGTAAAGTTGATATAAGAAAAGGATCAATGCTGATTCTTTCTCTTTACTTATTGGTTTTTAAAATAAAGAGTTCATTTGCTAGATCCTTCAAGAGTTGCCACTAAGTTGTGTGTGTGTGTGTGTGTTTTGAATCAGTATGAACTCATGATTTAAACATATTTTGTGTCTTAATCCATCACAGTTACTTTCTTTATTGAAACTCAAATTACTCCATTTTTATTTAGTCAGTGGAAGGCTCTTCACTTTGGCCCCTGAGCTCTTTTAACATGACTATAGTAGTTTTTGATAGCTTCCTTGTTCTCTGTTATGACAAGATGTTCTATTTTGTCTTGAAAATGTCTGCTCCAGGCCTGAAATGAGCCACTTCTCTAAGAAATTCTGTCTTTTGTTTTTTTTTTAGAAGAAGGTGGTATTTCAAGACTACAGTCTAGGCAATAGGGATTCCTACTGCTACTAGTTGATCAAAGACTCATTATAAAAAATTACAAAATGTTAATATTCATTTCCTATTTATGACCAGAAATTTCGAATTGCACTATTCTCTTGCTAAGTTTACCACTAGGATATTCTAGCAAATTCAACCTATCATTCCCTGAGGGGACCATTTCACATCTTCTCTTTTCTTTTTATCTCTCCAACACCCATCTCCCTCTCACCCTCAGTTGATAGCCAAATCTTAAATTTCAAACAAAAATAGATACAATAGTATGAAAACTACCTGTTTTTAATATAAACACCACTAATTCATCTGCATCTTTTTAAAAAGTAGACTTTATGTTTTAGAGCAGTTTTAGGTTCACAACAAAACTGAGCAAAAGGTACAGAGATTTCCCAGATACTCCCTGCCCCCACATGTATAGCCTCCTCCACTATCAATATCCCCGCCAGAATGGTATATTTGTTACAACTGATGAATCTACACTAACACATCATTATCACCCAGAGTACATAGTTTACATTATGTACAATTCACTCTTGGAATTGTACATTCTATGGGTTTGGACAAATTCATAATGACATACCACTATAAACATTTGTGTGCAGGTTTTTGTGTGGACATGTTTTCAACTCATTTGGGTAAATACAACAGGTTCTTGAATAATGCCATTTAGTTCAGCGTTATTTTGTTCTAACATTGATGAGAAAAAAAAAAAAAATCAATTCCCAGCTAGGGGAGTTTGCATGTTCTTCCCACATCTATATGTATTTTCTCCAGGTACTAAGGTTTTCTCCTACATCCCAAATATGTGCACATAAAGTGAAAATGGTGTGTTCAAATTGTCCCCGTCTGAGTGAGTGTAGGTGTAAGTGTGCCTGAGATGGAAAGGCTTCCTGGCTAGGGCTGGTTCCTGCCTTTGCACCCTGGGCTGCTGGGACAGCCTCCAGAACCCCATGACCCTGAATTGCAATAAGCGGGACAGAAATTAATTATCCTACTTGTTTTTTTTAAATCTTTCCTAAATGTAGGTATAGCTCACATTTATTTCAAGGTTTAACATCAGAAACGTTTTTAGTCTTTAGAAGTTTGGTGAAATTTTTGGGATCTGAAATATGCCATAGGAATTTAACTCTTGTTTCTATCAATTAGCTTATGGTAAAACTGGTTTCATTATATACCATTTTACTTAAAGTTGCAATTTCAAGAACTATTCACGATGTTCGGTGAGGATTCACTGTCCCAGGAGTGAGATTACTAGATTACATAGTAAGAGTATGTTTAGTTTTGTAAGAACCCGCAAACTGTCTTCCAAAGTGATTGCACCATTTTCCATTACCACAAACAATGAATGAGTGTTCCTGTTGCTTGACATTCTTGCCATCATTTGGTGGTGTCAGTGTTCTAGATTTCGGTTATTCTAATAAATGTGTAGTGGTATCTCATTGTTGTTTTAGTTAGCATTTTCCTGATGACAGACAATGTGGAGCATCTTTTCATATGCTTATTTGCCATCTATATATGTATCTCCTTCAGTGAGATGTCCACTGTTAAGGTCCTTGGCACTTTTTTTCTTAAAAAATAAATTTTTTATTATTAAATTTATTGGGGTGACCAGTTAATAAAATTATATTAGCTTCAAGGACATGGTTCAATAATATGTCATACATATATTGCATTGTGTGTTCACTGCCCAAAGTTAAATTTCCTTCCATCACCATATATTTTACCCCCTTTACCCTTACATACCTTGGCCCATTTTTTAATTGTTATTTTTCTTATTGTTGAGTTTTAAGAGTTATTTGTATGTTTTGAATAATAATCTCTTATTGTATACGTATTTTGCAAATGTTTTCTCCCAGTATATGGCTTGTCTTTCCATTCTCTTGACAGTGTCTTTTGTAGAGAAGAATTTTTAATTTTAATGAAGTCCAGCTTATTCATTATTTCTTTCATTGATTGTGCCATTGGTGTTGTATCTAAAAAGTCACTGCCATAACCAAGGTCATCTAGATTTTCTCCTATGTTATCTTCTAGGAGTTTCATAGTTTTGTGTTTTACATTTAGGTTTGTGATCCACTCCTAAAATTATCCCATCTCCATGCTACACCGTCATCTTCTCTATTGGATCATTCTTATTAGCATTACAACCTGCGCTAATATTATCTATCTTTTGAAAAGACTGAATTTTGTCTCCTACTCTTCTCTCCTTCATAGAAAAACCCTTCAAAGATTTGTATATTCTTATTGTCTCTATTTCCTTATCTCTCATTCTCTCTTTAATTTATTAATAAGGCTTTTCTCCCTCACTTTTACACAGAAACAACTCTTAACGAAGTCACTGATGACTCGCATCTGCTAAAGGCAAAGGTCAACGCTCGACTCTCGTCTTACCTGACTTCTCAACTGTTTGACATGGCTTCAAATATCTGTTCATACTGATGACTCTCAAATGTCTATCTTCAATCCAGATCACTCCCTTGAGCTCCAACTATAAATCTAACTACCTACTTAATTCCTCTAATCATTCAGGCTAAAATTCATCTAGTTACTCAGACAGGTCTTCTTTGATAACAGCAGTCAAAGCACCTCTACCTTAAAATTTTTATCATCTTCATAATACTTATAAGTATCTGAAATTACCTTATTGTTTCTATGTTTATTACCTATCTCCTCCCTGCCACCACCCCCAGTACACAAATACACACAAAGAAGCAAGCTCCTTAAGTACAGAGAGTCTCTTTTTTGCTCACATTTGTAACCCCAATGCTTACAAGTGTGCTGGCACATAATATGTGTCGGATAGTATGTTCTGACGTCATTGCTGAAAAAATAAGACTTTTTTTAAGTACAGAAAACATGAAATAAGCCCAGTGACTTATTAAATAAACAAAAATTAAATTATGTTAGTAAGTGCTACAGGCAGATTACTGATTACTGTTTGACTCAACAAAAATATTAATTTACAAAGTTGGCACCAAATTATATCCTTTCTTGTTTTCTTTTTCTTTTCTTTTTTCTTTTTTGCTATTTCATATGAATTTATTTTGTTCTTCCAAAGTGATTATAAGCTCTTAATGCTATATATTTTTTTTGGATCCCTGTCATACTCAAGTATGCGGTCAACAAGATCTCAATAAGTGATTGTAAAATTAGAATGAAATATATTTGGACTTTATAAATAAGGCATTTTTGTTGAATTATCTAAGATGTTCTTGGCAATATACATTAAATAATATTTCTTGGGAACTTGTGAGTTAGCCAAGGTTTTCTAAGCCACCACTGGTCTCAGAAAACTATCATTTTTTAACTAGA